TGAAGACTGACCACTAGAAGAAAATAAGAAAAGAAAATAAACGAAAAAAAAGAAGCTAAAAATAAAGGAAAAGCCCTTAGAAACTAAAAATAAAAATACTAGCACCACAACGATCCCCCCCACACCTAATTCACACATTGCCCTCAATGTGATAAATAAATAGTAATAGCAAGGCGAAAGGCAACGGAACTTCCCTGAAAGTCGTCAAAATAGGGGCGGATCGGGCGGGAACTGAGGAGCAGGACCTGCATGGTGCATAGATGCTGCCAAATTCTGCGCCATGTGAGGTTCTAGGTGTCCTAGACCTAGAAGATGACCATGGCCTCACCATTGGTTCTAAAGATCACTCCACTTGACAAGAGACAACAATGGCCAACAAATAATGGAAACAGGAAATTCAAAGCAATAAGAATTGAAAAGCCAACCCAACGAATAAAATGCACAATTCAACAACCCAGAGGTCATACAAATACCCCAACACTTATAGCAAATGCAATCAATAAGTACTTATGGACCCCATGTAGTCAAATTCAGAATTAAGGTCGTCCAAAGTGCAACAACTGCTCTAAATACCCCAAGTAAGTCAATTAAAGGCAACCGACTTCAACAAGCAAATGCAAACTGCACATTCATGCCCCAATTCAACAAAGAAACGCAGAAAAGTAGCCACAATACTAGAGCACAGCTCCCAATAATGCAACAGAACAGCAACTCGAACAAACTAGGAACTGTGCTAGTGTCTTAATAAATCAACAACTTTCAACAATTAGACACAATCGGACCCAATATCGTAACAACTGTCTCCAATTGGACAGTCAATTACCCACTTCAACCTGCTAAAATTAGCAATTGACCCAAGAAAATGGCAACTCCAGCAACAACAGTTCAGAAGTTGGATAGAAACAACTCAACCACAAATGCCCAGTAGTCGATTAGGCAACCAATAACACAGGAGTAACAAATATTATGTAAACTACCCTCACCAGTACCACTGGTGCATGCATAAGGAAAATTGAAATCAAATGGCCAACCCAAGACATGTGATAACGCCAAACACACCACTCAGTACCACTGAATGGCAGAGAGTAACACGGGACCCAATTGACAAGTAACTCCCAAATTACCCCCAACAATTTCCAAACAAATAAACTGGCACAAAAGTCATCCAATTTTATCCCCCAGATGCAATAGAAATCTCAAGTAGTCAAAGCCCAAATAATATTCAACAATATAATCAATACCAGAGAGCACCCCCAAATGGGGTAGCAAATAAATTGAATTCCACCCAAAATCTCAACAACTGTCTCCAATTGGACAGTCAATTGCACAACTCAACCAACCAAATGAATTGGGATAGTAACTATGGCCATTAAATCAACAATCAATGCACTAAGTATTATAGTTGTTGGATTGAACAAATAAATGCACAACTCTGCCAACTACAATTCAGCAGAGGCCCGAATACCTTAGCTACTTAAATCAACGGTCATAGGGCATCAAGAATTCAGCAAAATAATTTAGCAGGGCCCGAAAACCAAAATTCAACATAGAACCCAAAGTCTGTGCCCAATTCAATCTAGAAATCTATTCCAGAAATAGGACTCCAAATTTAAGTAATGTACCTTAGAAAGTTGGCCAATAATTTGGGAAAAACAAGTACCTCCGCCTCATACCAGAGACACCAAGCAGATGGCCATGGGTGGTGGAGCAGTGGAGCAGCGGAGGAGCTGTTGGCCGTGAGCTGGTGACGAGGTGGAGAGAGAGCAGAGGGAGGTGGCGGCGGTTGGCAGGAAGAGGCGGTGGGCGAAACTTCGTGCGCGCGAGCAGCGCGCGATGGTGGCCCTGGTCGCGGATGAAGCTGGAGGAGAACTGATGGTGGTCGCACGTGGTGGAGCTCGTGGCGCGCGGTGGTGCGAGGTGGTGGCCGCAGCTGTGGAGCGTGGGCAGTGGTGGCGTGCGAAGTGGGTGGTGGCGGATGGAAGGCAGCCGAAAGAAGAAATAAAAGAGAAAGGAAGCAGGGCAGCGGGGAAGAAAGGAAGAAAGAAAGAAGAAGAAGAAGGAAAGAAAAAGAAGAAAGAAAGAAAGAAAAAGAAGAGAGAAAAAGAAAAGAGAAAAAAAAATAGTTTTTTTTTTTTTGAATCTTAATTTTTTTTTTCTTTTTTGGGGTTTTTTTTTTTTCAAATTTTTTCCTGAATTTGAAATTCCAAAATTTGAATTTTTGAAGAAAAAGAAAAATGCCTTTTGAATTTTTGAATTTTCTCAATGTGAAATTTTGAAACTTTTTTTTTTCTTTTTTTTTCATGTTTTGGGTCGTCAAACACCGCGTGGGCATGCCAAGATTACAAAACATCCACTGACCTCAAGAGACCCAAACACCGCGTGGGCATGCCAAGATTGGTGTTCGTCCTCTGATCTCAAGAGACCTAAACACCGCGTGGGCACGCCAAGATTTCACTTCCTGATCACAGTGGAGAAAAATATCAAGACCAACTACTATCCAAATGAGAAACAACAGAACGAAAGAATTGAACAACTAAAAATAATAAAACCAATATTTGGGTTGCCTCCCAAAAAGCGCCCTTCTTTAATGTCTTTGGCTAGACATTATCATGTTTTGCTCATGGAGGATAAAATCTTGTGGCTCGCTTCAATGCTTCATCTTCAACGTGATCCTGGTAACCCTCATAGATGGAGTAATTCTTGGGCACACGAGTTACGGGCTTCCATGGACTAGTAAATGGCGCTAAACAAGTCAACAATGATCTGCATTCTCCACTCACTCCTCCATCACACGCATTCATTGGTTCAAGATATTTTGCCATCTCCACTCTTAACTTATTCCTGTCATGAAATTTTAAATTTTCTGGTATAATAAAATCAATTTCAGTAACAGGAGTTGAAGAATAGGAGTCAGGAAAATATTGATTAAGGAGTGGAGAAGATGTCACCGCATTTGGAGATTGTTCACTGGAATCGTTCACTTGAATGAGTTGATCCTGGAGTCTCATTTCTTGCACTTCAGCTTCCTTTTCAACTGCATCTTTAAATCCGTTTTCTTGAAACTCTTGCAGTTCCATGTCATTTGGCCGGACAATTGCACTCTCATCTTCCTCAAGATTGATATTGGTTTGTGCGGGCAATTCTTCCATTTGAGAGCCAATCGATCTATCCTGGATGTCAATTGACGCATTTGATCCGCCAGGTCGCGAAGGCTCGCTTGTGTCTTCTGATGATATCGATTTAGGCTCGCTTGTGTCTCCTGATGAAATCGATTTGAATTAGCAATTAGTAAACCTATCATTTCTTCAAGAGACATACCTGACACGGAGGATGATTGCTGAGACTCTTGCTGTTGAACATCCATTGGCCCCGTCGAATAATCAAAATTGGAATTATCCCACCATTCTTGATCATACCCGTTTGAATAAGGGTCATACTGCGTTTGATATTGGGGTGGAAAATCTCCAAAAGTATCAAGTGGAGAACTTAAATTATCTTGAAATGCGGGGCATGTGTTAGTTGAATAACCTGAATCAAAATAAGTTCCACAATTTGCAACAGCCCATTGATCATTAGGAGAAACATGAGTCTCATAACCCCATTCAGGAACAAAGTCCAGTCTATCATCAAAATATGGAATGTTAGCAGCCATAAACTATATAAAAAAAAAGGGAAAAAAAATAAATTAAAAATGAAAACAAGGTGAACTCGAAAAGAAACAAATTAATCTGACACCAGTCCCCGGCAACGGCGCCAAAAATTGACAGGTGCCGAACCTGTGTAATAATAAATACCTACTCGAGAAAAATACAGATTTTGTATATAGCGGTGAGTAGGGTCGAATCCACAGGGACTGGGGATAATTCGTTTCTTCTAGAGTCCAAAGTATGGGGGGTTTTGGATTAAATGCTAACTAAATAAATTAACTGCAGAAAATAATTAATTAAAAGAAATGATTGGGGAAACTCTAGCCAAGGGTACACATCAGAAATGGTTCATGCACTGATCATTGATGCAGAAATAATTCCAACATTTAGCAGTAGATTAGTTATAGTTGTCATGCACGCGATAAACAACCAACCCTTCCTTAATTTCTCGATAGCTAAGGTACGACCGTTAGCTATTTCTCTAACCCAAAAATAACCCTAGGTACGACCGTAAGATTTAATTTCTAGATTGCATTAATAATTAGAAAGGCCCAATCCTAACCAACAAACACGCTACGAGGGTTTGTTTAAATTAGATCATATGCTCCCCTGACATAAACCCAATTACGCCAGTTGCTACTGAGGTAGAGATAACGAACAATTACGGATTCAATTACCCCTATTTAGCAAAAATAGCCTATATGAATAATTAATTATTGCGCACTAATCAATCATACACAAGGCCATAGCAATTAAAATCAAGGAACATATAAATACCAATAAATGAAGAAAATAATTAAAACAGATTCGATCTCACAGTAATTGTCGAACCAAATCGTCAGTTGTCCCCTTGACTAGAAAAGCTTAACCACGCCTCATGAGAAAATCTCCCCGTTGGGGAATATTGTCGAACACCTGGCGTGTGTCAGAGGCCAGTCTAAGGAAAGAAAGAAAAGAAACTAAAACTAAACTAAAACTAGAGATGTCCCTGCTACTCTACGTTATCCCTATTTAAGCAACAAGAGGAAGATGACTAAAGGCTATCTAGGTGGTCCCCACACATGTGGACAAAGCCCTCCAAGTACTTCTTGTTCCAAGTCTCTTTCCCGTAGCTTTCTTTTAAGAGCCCAAATGACTAGATGCTTTCCACTAGCTTGTGGTCCCCCACCAATTCAAGGGCCCAAGAATTGAAGCCCTTAGAAGTTTCCATATTTTCCATTAAATCCCTTCTTTTTGGTAGTTTTCTACTTCATTCCTGAAATTAAGTCCAGATACCAAATATGAGTAAATATTAACAATTAAGCAATATTTGGCAAGGATAAAAAGGGAGATTAATAATAAAATAACCAATAATTAACACCCTATCAGTAATGGATAATGAATCTCCAGACAATGTATTCCAATCTTGGTAGCACCATTTTCATTACCATTTTGTCCACTTTTGGCATCTTGATTTATTGTTTCTTCTTCAATCCTTAGACGAGTAATGAGACTTTTTAATGAAAACTCCTTTTGCTTGTATCGCAAGCTCTTTTGGAATTCCTTCCAAGATGGTGGAAGTTTATCCACTATAGCAGCAACTTGAAGTTGTTCACCAATCTGAATTCCTTCGGATCTTAACTCATGTACAATCATTTGAAGTTCATGAGTTTGGACCACCACAGATTTTCCATCCACCATTTGAAATTTGAAGTAGCGGCTTGCGGCATTTTTCTTTGCGCCTGCTTCTTCAGTGTCATATTTTTTCTGCAAAGCTCTCCAAATCTTTTTAGCAGTAGGATATGAATTCTCATAAAATTCATAAAATTCATCAGAAAGACAATTTAACAAGTAATTCTTGCAATGAAATTCATCGTCTTCCCATTTCTTGATTTTTTCTTCAAGAACTTTCTTGTCCTCATCACTCATCTCAATTGTTGAAATTTTTTTGGGATTTTTCTCCAATAGAATGTAAGCCACTTACATCAAACTAAGATAGAAGAGAACTTTTCCCTTCCATCGTTTGAAGTGGACTCCATTAAAACGGAATGGCTTGTTCAAATCACTTGACTCTTTGATATGAACTTGCGAGTTGGTCTCCATTTGATCTGATTCACCTTAAAATTGTTGTTCACCTGGAACAGAAAAAAAATAAAAACAGATATGCAAAAAAAAAAATTAGATAATAACAATATATTAGTACTCAAGTGTGGAGGGTTGAGGCACGGGTATCTCGCTCTCTTTAAGGTGATTCAAGCCCTGCGGAAGAATTAACTCCGGTGCAACAGGTTCTCTAGCTTGTCACCCCCAGGATACAACAGCCCAACCACACTTGCTAACACACTCTCTAGATTACACAACTAGGAGAGTAAAGCTCTATAAACACTTTTTGTCTCTTACCTTACTATGAGATAGAAAATAGTGAATTTGTACTAAAAAGACATAAGTTGTTGTAGTGGAACTTTTCTATCTCAACTATGCATATATATAGGTAAAAAAAAGTTAGACAAATATAACTGATGTTACTAATAAGACACCAAATAAATTCTGAAATTATTGGCCATTCAAAACACATTCAAAGTTATAAGTTACAAAAAAAAAACTTATTGTAATTAAAAAATCATAATTTCACATAATGATTCTTTGGACAATACCTATTCAAATCCAAATTTGAATTGTAACTTACAAAGCTTCAATTTAATTGAAAGGCCATAATTTCACACAATAAATATTTAGTAAAACCATTCAAATACCTATAAATTTTAGAAAATTTATTTTCCTTGTAACTTGCACATCTAATTGAGAATTTATTATTTTATTAAAATACTACAACATACCCTTTTTAAATGTGGGCGAGGAAGACTGGTAGAAGAGCCATAATAAATACAATACAAATAGGGAAAAAGACATTAAGATGGAGGGAAATGTTATTATGACAAAAGAGTCTTTTGAGAACTTGCAGGAAGAGCTGGATGGAAAGAATGGGAATTGTCTTTCAATGAAGAATGCAAAGAACTCTAATTAGCGAGAGAGTTGTGTTTGAAAGGGTTTTCATGCCATTCAACAGAGTAATGGAGCTTTGATTAGTGGTTTCAAAAAATGGCACTCTTGGCAAGAACTCTTGTTGGATCCTTGCTCTTCAAGTAACTGATGAGGATTAATGTAACGGATGTGAAGAGTATGGTTTATTGAAAACGCTAATTAATAGATCTTTAACCAACGATGAATAGATAATGGATGAGTAATGATTGTCATTCCGTTGCAAGAAACACTGCAATACTCTTGAGCTTCCTGAGAATCATGGCGGCGCACTTGGATATTAAAAAATGTTGGCTCATGGGGTTGGGTTTCACGCTTTCTTCAGGCGTTGGGTCGGGTATTTCTAGAATTTCCACTGTCCGTTTCTGTACTTTTATTATTATTTTTTTTTGCTTCAGTTGGTTCAATAGGTATCGTGGATTCTTTTCTACAATTTGCTCTTATTAGTTAGGCTGTGAATTTGAATATTTTGTGATGCAATGGATTGTTTCTGTGCCTTTTTACATCTGTTAAATGTGTTCTTAAACTTTGATTCCTATGATTGTTGGTGGTTGAAGGGTGAGAAAAAGTTATCTGCTTTACAGAACTTTTTGTACTCAAGGTAAAGTCTCAATCTTCATCCTCAATTAGTACATGTTTATTGTGGAGAGTTAATTGGACGTGAATTAATGTTTGTAAAATTTCTGAATATTTTTTACATGGAACAAATAGTTTCTATTTTGTTGGGATTAAAGATTTGTTGAGTAGTTTATCAGCACCTTTTTTTTTTTTTTTTTGAATTTATTGGAATGCTTGTCCGTCTATTAGTTGCGTGTTTTTATAAAAATTTTGTTCATTAGATTAGCATAACCTTTGCTTCGATTAGTATGACTTATGGAACCAGGCAAATGACTACAGTAAATAAGAGATGTGTAGTGAAACATGTTTTAGCGGTGATAAGGGGAAATATAAACATGCACTAATTAGCAAAAACACATCAAACATTCCTAAATATCTAAGCATATGATAGTTTTATGGCTAGGGGCTCCTGTTTGTTGATTACTTTAGGAGAAACAATTTACAATCTGAAATAGTTCAATCTTAGAACAAAGGATTTACAATTAGTTGTTTGATTTTGTTTCTAATCATTACAATTGCAAGGATGAAAGTGATTCAATTTTTTTTTGACACATGTTTTCGCGGTAAATTTTGTACTAACTTATGATTATGTGAGTAAATGAGCATTTGGTTACTTTTACATTTCTCCCCTTAAACAAATTAGTGTGTTTGATTCTATTTCTGCATTTAAAAATTACTATACTTTCTCATTTTCTTACTTATATTAATAATATTTTTTACTTTCTTAATCTCATGATACTTAACAAATTATAATACAGGTACTCACTCCTGCGTATTGTATTGCGCAGGCTTCTCCCCTGGTCTTTATGATTGGATTTGCTTTGCTCTTTGCAAATTGCAATTTATTAACGACCTAAAATTTTGGAGGGAATAAATTTTGTGTTCCTAAGAGGGAATAAAGTTGGGCCTGTTACCACCCTCCAGGCCTCCTCTAAGACGGTCGGACCAAGCAAATATACAAGACCTCGGACCAAGGCGTGGGTGGATCATTGCACAGAAATTCTGGGCCTATCAACTCGCAAGTGAGGTTGAGATGGTGCTCACTTTGTGTGTCTGCTGTGTGTTTTTTTTCCCCTTTTAAATTGTCCCTTTACTCTACAATTTTTTTCTCCTTATCCTTAGATCTAAGGCCTATGAACTGCTCTACTACAGCAATATCATTAGAGTAAAAAAAAAAATATTGAGTTAATCATATATACACTGATTGATAGTATATACACTATTAGACATATAACATATATGTAAGATTTGAATTTTAAATTTAAATTCAAATTAATTATCATATATTTAATGATAATAGTGTCCACACTGTAAGTGTATTAATCCAAAAGGTTTTAATACAATTAATGATGGGATTTATAATTATCACATCCCCTACCATCCCCTCTCCCAACTTGAACCCAAAGGAAAGAAAGCATAAGATAGATATATATATATATATATATATATATATATATATATATATATATATATATATATATATATATATATATATATATATATATATATAAGATAGATATATATATACAAAAATTAAAAAGTCGAACTCGAGATCTTTAATCATACTCCCTTCCTCGAACTACCCAACTCATTTCTCCCCTAACCATAAGAATATTTCAACTCTAGATTTGTCCTTTAGAAAAAAAAAAAAAAAAGGCTATAAATTTGTAGTCGAAGAATTATATTGACTAAAAATAAAGTTAAAGGACTATGTTGTCGTTAGCAAAATGGTCGAGAAAGGACTCAGGTCATTTGCTGTTTTAGATAAAGATGGAACATTAACATTCATCTACTACACAAATTGATGATCCGTCCAAAGTCTAGTTTACTTTTCGAGTCATTTCCATCTCAAAATCATTTACAATTCCATCAACAAAAAAAAATTAAATAAATAAAGAAACAAAAAATCACTATATATTTATAGCACTTGAACAAATCAAAGCTTCAAAGACCATACAAATCATAAAGGACCTCGGGCCGTGGTCGAGGTGAACATAAATTTAGGCCTCTCAAATGAAGTTCAGATTTAGACCAAGAGTTGCCGGCTTTTGGTATTAACTCTGGGATTATGTTTATTTCATTCGGCAAAAGTCAATTGCTTTGAGTCGAAAAAAAAAATGAAGTTCAGATGGCTTTTGTTATTGATTTTGCTTTTGTTATTGTGGCTATTGGAACCCATTTAGGCCACTCTTTAGCTTTGGCTAAAGATGTGAACCTTTATATTAAACTATATCATGCATTCGCATATGGAACGTAAACATTCATCTGAACACAAATTGTTTCCCTGTCCAAAGCCCAGCTTTATTTTTGGAGTCTTTTCCCTCTCAATCCCTACCTCAATCATTTTACAATTTTATCAAAAAAAAAGGGAAGAAAAACAAAAAGAATTACCTTATATTCATAAACATTTGAACAATTCCAGGTTCTATGCACAAAAAATCTGAATTCCCTGCTCAGAAAAAGTCATACTTGTTCTTCTGGAGAACCTGGACGTGGCGAAGGCGCTGGCATTGCAATGAAACTCGGGGTCTGGTCTCCAGCCATGATCACAACAATCTGTTCAGGACGAGCCTCATCTGCATTGCTCACCGGCAATTGCTCCTGAGGCTTCTCTTCTGCTTGACGATTATCATCGTTCGACAAATTACTCGACAGAAATCGTCTAGAACAGCATACAATCATCAAAGAAAACACCATAAAATTGAAGAAAATCAGCCCACCAAAAGCAAAATAAGATGCACTTATACTCCACCCTTCCATGAACCCTCTACGAGGATGGCAGTCTAGGATCGATATTTGTAGAACCAAACCAGTTTTCTTCCTCTTTATTTATTGGTTGAAGCACTAGGATTCAAAGTTGTTGTTTATATATACAGCATTGAAAACATTGAAATATGCCTAGAACCAGTCTGGTTCTAAATGGGAAATGAAGCATTGATAAATCTTGGGTCAAATTGACATTCCAAAAGTTGTCAATTTAGATGCAACAGTTGAATTAACACTCTCGAAAGTGGCCGTATCTTTTGACTCCATGAGTACGTAACATATTATTGTATATCTTGTTCCGTTGTTTGTTGTCATTCTTCGTGCGTTAAAGAGGCTAAAAGGCTCTGGCAGTCCAGCAATACCAATATACTGCCGTGTGAAAATAGCATTCTCTGCCTAATGGATAAGGACCATAAAAGGTAGGAAATGAAAGTTTAAACTCCACTTACCATCCTTAGCTGCTGGTGAGCTAACAAATGTTTCATTTGGTTAAGCTACAATTTGACCAACTTTTACATCACTTATATGTGCAGCTCGAACAGAGAAGAGGAAGACTAAATTCATCTGAGTTTTTGTTTGAGCAATATCTACTGGCAAATGTAGAATATATTTAAAAATTTTGGCGACACATAAACATTTAACACGTTCTCCGTTCTAATTGAAAATAATAAAAAATATGTTTATCTTGTGTACACCGATGATAGTATATATATTACTCGCTAGTATAAATGCATGCCGCCTAATCTTAATTTACTCTCAAAAATAGTTGTTGAACAATTTTGGGGTCTCTGCGTATTTTCGAGTAAAGTGCCTAGGATTAGGAGTCAGTCGTATATATGTAAAACTGATGGAGGCTAATGTTAATCAAATTGGTAAGAATTGTCTTATTCTAAATTAATTAGTGTATATTTTTGATGAAGTTATTGGCGCCGGTCAATGATCTGTGATTAATTGATTATTGAATCATGAATGTTTCCCATTACCTTCCAAGATTTCATCTACATATACAAATGCCGAAGCCATCCAAATAATCAATCATCCATCCAATCATAGCGAAGGCCGTTGGCCCTGTGGTGTCCATTCATGCTAACAAGTGAAAAGAGGAATCGTCCTTCCTTTTTGGCTTTTTCTAAATTAGACCAGTCAACTTTTTAAATCCCCAAGTGCACGACCAAACTTAACAGAGGAAGTGACAGCTTTGAATTCTGAACTTCGTCGAGTCTTCTTCCGCGAAATTTACAACAACTTTTTTCTAGAATTTCATGGTTAGATTCATTTTTCTTTTCAATTTTGCTATTCGAAGTACTTTGACATCCACCCCATACAGGGGACAAATTATTTTACTCACTCAGCATCAATATGCTAATGCATCACTAATTGTTAAAGCTAGCATTAACCGTTCTTAATCGACTATATCTTGCTTCAGGCTTGAACCTTTGAATGATCATCCTCTTTAACTATTCATAACTTAATCAGGCGCTTAAGAAGGCTGGATCAGAAAATTAAGATTGATCTTCGAGAAATTTTTCCAAGCTACAAAACTTGAACATAAAGTCAGGTAGTAACTTACAATCACTTTTTCAAACTCATAAACTGATTGCCTATACATATTCTGTCTGATACACCGTGCAAAGTCAGCCCGCCAAGTTTGATTTTCCCAAGTCTGAAGAAAGGAAATCTAGCCTCTTATAAGCCCATTAATTCATCATTACCATTCTTGAAAACACTCGCGTTGAAGAAATTCTCTAGGAGGATACTTCGTATTTTAGATGGGATTCTTCTCGGGAAAAGGTGTCCACATTGGCTGGGATGAGGAGTCCTATCCACAATACCAAGATCTTATTGCCCTACCCTTTTTCACTGTTTCCTTCCTGTTACTTCGCTTAATTCTTGATAGATTTATCTTCGAGGTATACTTTTTAAATTGATTTTCTCCATTTCCTATTTCGTTTGAATTTTTCCTGAGCTGGGAGCACTGCACACAATAATTTTTACATTCTTGTTTATTCAAATTGTATGCTTTATGCAGAAATTAGCAACGCGCCTAATCTTCGGAAAGGATCATGCTAAGTTGAAGACAAGTTTGAGGAGAAAGACAATTACAAAGTTCAAAGAGTGTGCCTGGAAAACATTTTATGGTATATCTGCAGAGTTTCTGGCAATTCTTGTTACTTATAATGAGCCCTGGTTTAGCAACACCAGATATTTCTGGATAGGTCCTGGAGATCAGGTCTGGCCAGATCAGAAAATGAAGTAAGCTTCTTTGATTCATAATATGCTGGATTTAAAGCTTGTAACTCTTGAATTTGCAGTTATGTACAGTATATTTGATTTTATTAATGCTGATCAGGTTTAAGCTGAAGCTTCTTTACATGTACTCTGGAGGTTTTTACATTTATGCCATAGTTGCCTTGCTCTTCTGGGATACGAAACGCTCTGATTTTTGGGCGTCAATGATTCATCATGTAGCATCAGTACTATTGATTGCAGTGTCCTATATATTCAGGTATGGAACTTAGTAGCCCAAAATTATTGCGTGGTCATATGGTGCTTTCAGACTGTATTCTTCTAACTGGCTGGTTGCCATTTCTTGAGCTGCAATCGCAAATGCTCAAGCAACATGGATCATATGTCTAAGCACCGAACTATGAAAATGTAAATGTGCAGCATATCCAGGCACATTTATTAGGCACTTGCATGGTTTCTAAAATCTCATGCATTAGATATTCAGAGTCGTCAGAGTCTGGCTGCATCAGGACTCGGTGCTTAAACACCTCTTGTTCTTAGCAGAAACTCCATTACAAGATATTAGCCAACATTTTCAGTTCCTGCACTTTAAGAAGTGCGAAGAACATTCACTGTTAGTCTTAGATTACTCGTCTTGCTCCTAAGCTATGTTCAGAGTCCTCATTCTGTTTCTGTTGCAGGTTTGGTCGCGTTGGATCAGTTGTTTTGGCACTCCATGAAGCAAGTGATGTATTTCTTGAAACTGCCAAGATGTCCAAATATAGTGGTTATGATAGGCTTGCTAACACTTTGTTCCCCATTTTCGCACTTTCTTGGCTAATTTTCCGGCTTATTCTTTTTCCCTTCTGGGTCCTGAGGAGCACGAGGTAAGTTCCGGTTCTGCATGATGGTTTATCCTACTAAAGTATCTATTTCTTTCCGTCTAAAAACGAGTTGTGTTTGTTCACAGCTATGAAATACTTTACATCTTGGACGGTATTAACAACACTGAGGGAACTGTCCTTTACTACTTCTTCAACTCTCTGCTTTTCTGCTTGCTTGCTCTGCACTGGTACTGGGGTAAACTAGCGCTCAAGATGGCCGTAGAACAAATCAAATCAAAAGGGCAAGTTAGTGACGATGTGAGATCTGGTAAGTGCAGACGTACAAGTTAGAGAGTCAATGATGGATCAAATAGAATTTTTAACTCAAGTTTCTAGATTGGAACTGCAAGTTTTATCTCCTGTGTGTTTCATCTGTAGATTCTGAAGGGGAGGAGGAACATCAAGACTAATGATGATTCACTGACCAGGCACAGGCATGATATCCACTGGAGGAAAGGTATCGCTTTTGTTAGCATTTCCTGTTAACAATTCTTTAGTTGCATCACTAAGTCAAAAATCATTCTTACCTTCCTCTCTGCCTGCAGATACTTCAGAAGAATATATGTGAGGCAAATATTGTGCTGTTGTCATTTGGTCAAATGCAAATGCAAAGAAGGAGGCTTTTGAATAGATCAATGTCCAAGGCTCAATCACGAGCATCATTATACTGTTGAATGGATGTAACATTATTTGTTTCTAATGCACCAAAAGAAAGTAATTACATAATAGTCATAACTATGCCCATAAGCACGTTCACAGAGAGAGAGGGGGAAAATTTTTGAGTAAAATTTTGGTATCATTACGGCATCAAACTTGACTGATGTATTCAATTCCTATTACACCAACGACAAGATGGAGAAAAAAACAAAAAAATTGCCAAGAGCTCTCCTAAATGTGAAATGAGAACTGAGAACTTGCTAAATCTTCTTATCACAAACTAACCATAATAGTGAAAGATTGATAAGAACTAACTTTCATTACCCACATGCCAAAATATAACAAGATAGATAAAGCTCCTGTATAATTAAACCAACATTTTTCTAGTTCCCATTTCTTCAATTAGAGAACTTTGCGATCAACTTATCAACGTGAATGATGATATCATCGATTCGTGGCCGTACTGTAGGTTGTGGCTGAAGCATCCATGTCACAAATTGGTGAAGGGCTTCAGGATACGGAGGATTAGGCCCAGCTGGCCACTTTATTTGTGCATTTACAATAGCCAACTGTAAACTCCCACCAGATTCTCCAAGTGCATACTCAAATGGAGATACGCCATACCTGGAGAAGCAGCCAAGAATGAAGAAATTTAATGACCATCATGGCAAAAGGTCTCCAAATATCTCATCCATGTAATCCATACTAGTAATAGGTCAATGACTTTATTTGTTGACAATGAGTTTGACATCGACGCCTACTCACTGACAGATACGAGTTCGACGTTATCATTTTTTAGCTGTTTACAAGCATAAAAGTGACGATAACATGCAACAATATCTATGTTTAGAGTTAAAAATGAAACACCAGATACAACAATAAATGTAATTTGATTTATCAATCAAAGCCCCTTTCATCACAATTAATTGTGAGGTGGCTAGGCAGAAAAAGCAAGTGGCAACATAGAAAACTTTGCAAAAATTAAAAGCATTCAACTTCAAGGAAAAATAAAGGCATCAAGTATGATCACTGGATGTGAAGGAGACTGTTTTATATACCCAAGAATCTGCTCCATCAGCATTAGAAACTATTTCAATTGAACAAGAATTCTATTTCATAAATTGTATATTAATCACAATCCAAAAGAAAAATAGTTAGAAGCCTCACATTATTGCATATAAAGTGCATCCCAGTGACCAGATATCAGATCTTTCATCTATATCTCCATGGCTGGGACAATCCCACAATTCAGGAGCACGGTAAGGGGCTGAACAGTGCTCAGATGCCCATTCCTGCACAACCAACAACAGAAACTAACTAAAATAAGTAGGAGATACAACAAACTTTGCTGAAAACTGCACATTTGAATAGATCATACACACAGGCAATGTCAAAGTACTAGCATCAGTTGGGAAAGTTTGCTTGAGTAACAAATATAGAGTGATTCAATGAACAACATATGATTATAAACAAAGAAAAATATTCCAAGGACCTGTAATTGAAGGGCCTCGGAACGAGATCGAATCTGCTTCCTGGCAGGACGAGCACTTCCAAAATCCATCAGGATTGCAAGAGGTGCTTGCCCTTTTCTATGTGTCAGAAGTACATTGCCAGCTTTAACATCATTATGTGCATATGGAGGTTCAAAATTGTGCATATGCTTCAATCCTGCACAAAGCTGCAGAACAACTATCTTTTCAGAAAAGCATTTATTGCAGATAAATTCAGTCTTAGCAAAAGCACTGAATTCTCAATTCAGGTGCTAGAATGAAAAATAAATATATCCAAAACAAAATTGATCTTCCTACATCCTTTAATCCTTTTCAAGTTTTGGAAAGACCAAGACATACTAAACAGAATAATGAACCCAGGTATGCAAGACTATGTAATTACTAAAGAAACATTTTTTCAGAAAATTTCAGTGCAGTACATGCTAATGGACAACAAACTAGTGAACAAGATATGCAATCTTTTGCACATTTTTTATTTTCACTCACCTGATGGAAGATTTGAAGAACATCTGAGGTAGAGAAGAACTCCTTCTTAGCCTTCATAGTCTTGGAGTTGTCCATCAAAGTCCCATCCAAATGGACTGGAAACAACAAATAAGCTTCATGCTTCCAAGACTGATCTTGTGTGGGGGCCTACCATACAGAATTTAGTGTCAAAAATATACGAGTCAGTGAAAATAAAAACATCTAGTGTATCAAATAAAAATCCGCAAAGACTGGTGGTGAATGGGCAGAATGGTGTTGTATATCTAACAATGCAGCAATTAAGATATAAAATTCATTGAAAGGAAAGGAACAAATAAAGGGAAAATAAGACCAAAACCATAGAAGGCTTAATCGCATATGAAAATGAATGAAAATCATGAGATAAACACTCTGCACCTGTTATTCATGGCTTGTCACTTCTATACTGCTTATTCCATGAAAATTACCACCACACAATTTAAACTCTCTCTCAAACTGCCAGTAGTGAGCACAGCTTCCTTCATTCAATTGAGGGTGATGCTATGCACATATACAACGCCAGAAGATTTATGACAAAAAGACTTAGAGACAATATCTTGACCGCCTTGACTTTGAACATCTATTCATCAACCAATGCTATGAATGACTTTAAAAATTGTTCTCCTTAAAGGGAACACCTCATCCTACTTCGTGGACAAATAATCTTACTTCACAAGGAATTAACATCAATAAAAGTTAGACATGGAGATAACAACCAAGTTTTACAAGATCTTACCTTGATTGCAATGATAGCATGATCAAGGAGAGGAAGCAGATTGGGATGGCTGAACAGGGATGAAACTCGGATCTCCTCTCTCACCAACTCCAGCTGTTCAGTATTCTGAATGAGAACTTTCTTCATTGCATAAGTTCCATCCTCTACACATAAAAAGTTAACATGACAGAGTAACAATTAGAATGGTTTCTATAGCTATATTTCTTTCTTTTCATACAGGGCCAGCCCTAAATTGCTAATAGCTCAGATCAGAAACAAAAAAATGCCAAGGCTAGAGTACACAAGTATCAATTTCCCATCATAACCAAACTCCATAGAAATATTAGAACAACCATGTTATTGAATTAAAAAAAAAAAATTGTGGAGCTATTGAATTCAAAAATTATGAGAAGGATCAAGCATTCTTACTGGAATCTAATTAGTATTGAAAGTTTATAGAGATTGATGAATCTGATTTTTGATAGAGTTATCTTTTCCATTGGAAAGTGAGAACAGATGCTCAGTTATAATTGATGATGGTATACTGCAACATCTACTCGCATAGTGCAATAACAAATGATAGAGAAAACCAGCTAAACAAATCAATCCACCAGGAAATTCAGAACTGAATCCATGCCAACTGCACAGGTACCTTATAACTATCAACTCAAGAACCTGAGAATGAAAACTAGACACAACTACTACATGTCCAATGCCGCCAGTAAAAATGTGAGCTTTTTTTATTAGCTCAGACGTCATCAATTAAATAAAGAAATAGAAAAGGTCGCAGGATCAGACAAGTCAATGGAATATACCATTCCATCACCAAGTAACCAGATAAACAGCAACCATCAGATCAAAGATTCAAAATTGATAAAAGGAGAGCAAATTATCCAGCAATCTCTGCGCTGAGTAACCAAGGACATTGAACTTGATGAGAGGTGCCATGCTTGAATTCCCCACCACAGTTGTATCAAAATATTCAATCAAAATCATTTCTTTTTCTAAATTCTCTCACTTGTAAGACCGTCATACCACAGCCAAAAGGGTAAAATCCAAAATTCAAACCAAACCGATCAAAGAATCCCATTTTGCACCAATGGAAGCATAAACCAATTTTCAGATCAAACGCAAGAAACTAAAAAGGAAACTTAAAAACAAAAAATGACCCACATGGGGAAAAAATATAAAGATCCCAACTTTAAAATCAGTCTCAAAAAATTCAACCAAAATCAAGTGGAAGAAATCACTTAATACCAGATAAATGAGAAGAATTCTTGAACTTTTTGGAGAGGCCAGCATTGGAGGAGGGGTCAGAAGAAGGGATTTCTTTGACAAGATATACATAAGCAAAGCCACCTTCACCTAGCTGCCTGATGACCCTGAACCGGTTTTCATTGATCCAAACATCTCCCCCACCATTAACGGCGTCGTAGAGGGCATTCAGACCAGAAAAAGAGCATCCCATCTCTCTCTCTCTCTCTGTTTCCCGCTTCCCCTTGTACGAGGGAATTGCAGAGGCTCCTCCTCCTCCTCTCCTCAGATCTCTAATTAATTCTGGTTGCTTAATGGGAGGCACTAGTTTTTCTCTCTCTCAAATCTCAATGCAGTCTTATGAGCTTGTAATAAGTCAGAGGTTAAGGTAACATTTTTAATGACTACTTCAGTACTTTGTCCTTTTTATTTTTACCTTTTTTTTTTCTTTTGCTGATACTAAATATTTTTAGTAGTTTGTTTAGTTTTCTCTTTTTTCTTTTTTTTCATTTTGTGGGGTTGGGGATATTACTTTCTTTTTTTTTTCAACTTACTTTTTTTTTCTAATGTTTTTGTTTTTTTTTTTATTATGAGGTTAGGTTCCAAGTAATTTTAGGCCAGTAGTTTAAGAACGTGGCAGGAGAAAATTGATTGGTAACTAGTACAAGAAAACTTTCCGGTGGTACAGGGGGAGATTTGTGAAAACAACATTAGACCTCCAAAGGAAAATTTCTAATGACAAATGAGCCTTTTTTTTTTTTGGGGGGTTAGGAAAGCAACTTCATCAATGGCCATCTAGATTTTCAAGGCATTTAAGGGCAAGTTTTGGCTAATTTTACTCGAGTTAAACTCAAGTCTCAACTAATCCGACTACTTTTCTTTAGTCCCCAACCTTCATAGGAAAAAGAAATAGAACAAGCAAAAATAGAAATCCAGCGGTTGAACATTAAATGCTGGAAAACATCATGCTGTTGTTCCCTCTGGTGTCTACTACTCCTTGCATGGCTTCCTGCTGTTTTCTTCTTCCTTCACTGGCTTTCATGCCTTGTTTAATGCAGTCTCCGAATGCTAATTGAACTTACAAACACTGGTCGCTGAGAATTAGTAGTTAAAGGCTTGAACTTTGAGCTAAAAAAAGTTTGAGAATTTGTTTTTGAAGGCTTG